TGTCTCAAATATTTTTTTAATATTATTTTTCATTTAAAAATATTAAAAAATTATTTTATTTATTTGATATTTTATTATAAATAATAATATATTTATTTATATATATTTAGGGGTTCTTTTTTTTTTTTTTTTCGTCCAGGCCCTTCAAAAGTCAGAACCGCCCTGTATATGAAGCCTTAATGTAGCTCGAAAATGTCAATATTTTCTTGGATATTTTGTAGACTATCTACACCCTACTCTCTTATCCATTCTATCATTGGAATTCCATGTGGATTGTACATTCAAATAGTACGCAATTGTCATCGAGTTGAATTGTATAATTCAGCACAATGTGTGGACATAAGGGGTGACAACATACAATATGAGAAGATACATTACAATATATATTAATACGATGAAAATGCAATATATGAACTGACAACACATAATATAATATTATTAACGTATGTGATTAATACTACTTCAGTACAACCAATATATTCATACAACATGTCTATAAATAAAAACAGACAACACACATTTTTATTTATCAAAACATTTGATAAATAAAAATGTGTGTTGTCTGTGTATCTTACGGGTGTGTTTGTTTGAAGGATTTTGGTGGATTTCCACTATTCATCCAATTTTTCTTCCCCAAAAACATCAAATCAAACACCTATTTTTCAATTTTTATATTATACTAAAAATCAATTTTACATTCAAAATATCACATCAAACCCTATTTATATCACATCATACAACTATTCAAATTTAAAATTTTTACTATTCAAATCCCAACTCAAAATCCAAACCCCCAAACAAACACACCCTACATGTATTCACCGGGCAAATCACAACTATGTTTATTTGCCCTAGTGAGTAGAGTAATCATCCCCTTAAATAATATTTTATATGTCTCACATCTCCGGTCCATGTTGGTGTTTCAGTTTGTTTCCACATATGATATTTTATTTATTTTATTTTTTTAAAACATTACACATTTTAGTTATATTTTAATTCTTTTAATACTCTCTCCGACCAGCTCTAAGGCTCACAGTCACTTTTTGCGTGTTATATTTGAATATTAATTATTATATCAAAACATAGTCCGAATTAAGAGAAAATAGCAAAAGTTCTTCTACTAGTATCTTATAATACTAATACAATGACATTTGTACAAAATTTATGCAGATATAAGGATATTTTTAACATTAATTGTAATAATGCAAAAACTAAATGTAACCTTTAAAGGGGAACGGAGAGAGTATATAATTATCATAATTTTAATTATACTAATTAGTTATTTCAATTTTAAACTTCATTTATAATTATTTGTATATTATATAATTATTTTTACTAATATATTTTTTAATTATTCAACGGTCAGCTATTTTCGGCTAGACATCGCAGCAGAAACACTCAGTGATGGGCCTTAGTTTCCTGAATGAATTATAACCAAAATTATAGCCATGTGCATATCACAGAAGAATAGAATATCATTTTATCAAAATAATAATAATAATAATAATAATAATTAAAAAAAAAGAAAAGAATATCTTTAGGTATGGATTCCATTCAATGGGACCGTAGTGTATTACTCTCTTCGTTCCAGATACCATATTCACGTTGCCGTTTCTGTTCGTCCCACATACTATGTCATTTTTTTTTTTTTGGAAAATGATTACACACTTTAATTTCATTTTAAATTTTTTAATTTTTTTTAATTTTAATTAAACTAATTTGTTATCTTGATCTTAATTTATAATTATTTATATTATAAAATAATTATTTTCACTAATACATTTTTAATTATCTACTAATTACACCCCTCCTAAAATACCATGTCTACAGTGTAGCAGACACGATATCTACGATGGAGGGATTACTATATTGTATTTGTCAGATTAGAGGCAACAGGTGATACTTTCCTGGGAATGCTAAATTAAAATATATATGATAACTCATTTTATTATATACCATGCTTTTACGACGAATCATGATGTCTTAACATTATTTGTTTTATACATATACGTGTGTGTGTATATATATATATATATATATGGGGTGGACAGGTTGTAATCTCATATTACTTTGATATTTATATATAAGGAAATTGTTCGTAACTTTTTTTATCATTTCGAAATTTAGCGTAAAATTTTTTATATTTTAAAAATTGTATGACGTTTCTTATATTTTAAAAGACGTTATATGAAATCTCTACAATGAAACCTCCTCTGTGTAATGAGAATATAATTTTCTATCTATATTTTTTTACATGGCGGGATTTCATGCAACGTTTTATAAAGTATAAGATGCGGTATGCAATTTTTAAAGTAAAGTAAAGATTTACGCTGAGTTTTGAAATACATAAGAGTTTCATGCAACATACAACATTTCTTAAAATATAAAGGGATACGCAATTTTAAAGTGAAAAAAGAATTTGCACTTTGAGTTGTGAAACTATAAGAAAATTATATATGAATATTTTTAGCTGTATATAATTAATTTTCTTATATTAAGCATGATACTTTGGGTTTGTTTACTTGGGATATGAAGATATTAATTTTAATTTTTTTTAAATTAATATTTAAATTTTATATTTTATAAGAAAAAATGGTATATTAGCTTAATAGTAATATAAATTTGTGTTTTTGAAATCTTACAGAAACAAAATGATATATTCTAATAATAAAATTTTCAATGTACTTTGACTTCTTCAATGTCCTAGTTGAATGAAACCTAACAATATAAAATTCATACAAGCTAGGTAGGTATGTTTTCTAAGCATTATTTGTAGCACTTTTAGAAAAAATAAATAAAATAAATCAAAAGAAAATACCCATCTTTTCATTTTTAAAAAATTAAAATAAAATAATATAGTTTTGTATACAATATATTACATCTTCAATATTATCTATATACAATACATCAAATACCTATTTCTTATTGTACTTTTTGCTATTGTAAAAAAATTTCAATATCAAAATACTTCTAAGACATTTCTATAGTTATCCATATTTTACTTTCTATATAGCTTACTTATATATTTAAATATTATTATTTTATTAGTGTCAGAGGTCCAAATAAAGTAATATATAAAATATAAAGCCGGGACGGAGAGAGTATCAAATATGTATATGCACATCTGTATATATAAATAAGGTACCATAATCAAAATAATAGGAGCAGTGCAAGAACTTATCTTATGATTCATTTAAATAATGTTTAAAACTAATTAATTTAACATTTAATATTACTAATACAGTTATTAAATAAATACTGCAGTTCTAGCTAGCTACAAAATATTAAGATGGTTTATCACATTTATTTGATGGAACAAACATTAATAATTTTAGGGTAAACTGTTTTTTTTTAGTCTCGTAACTGACCTCTTATCATTTTAGTCCCGTAAATTGAGTCTGTCGCAAACTAGTCCCATAAGTGAAAAAATTTCGTTGTTTTAGTCCTCCAGCACCGGAGACGCCCGCGTGGCTCGCCGGAGGCCACGTGTTCGTCAGGTGAGCGATACTTGGCGGACACGTGGATTTTATTTTATTTTTTTAATTTTTTTAAAAATTTATTTTTAATTTTATTTGCTTTTTTTAATTTTTTTTTATTTGGTCCAATTGAAAACAAATTTAAAAAAATTAAAATCTACGTATCCGCCAGGTGTCGCTGACCTGGCGGGAATGGCGGACACGTGGTTTCCGGCAAGCCACACGGGTTTTTCCGGTGCTGAAGAACTAAAACAACGAAAATTTTTCACTTATAAGACTAGTTTCCGACTCGCTCCACTTATGGAACTAAAATGATAAAGGGTCCAGTTACGCGACTAAAAAAATAGTTTATCCATAATTTTATATACATCCGAGCAACATACATTTAGGTCGATACTAAAATTATATGGATCAACAACTTCTTAATTAAAATATAATAATAATAATAATAATAATTATAATAAAAGAATATAATTTACCGTCACTTTCCTTGTTACCTCTCTTATTATCTCTTCCGTTTTTATTATAAGAACATTTAGTACTTGTACTAAGAAATACAATTAACACACCATTATTATCTCTTTTAAAAACTCATTACCTCTAAAGAAAAAAGAAAAGAAAGACTTATTATTTAATTATTATTATCCAATTTTAGAATTAAAAAATTTAAATTATCAATAATGATTTATACAAATATAATTTAAACTTATTTTAAAGTATCACGTCTACCTACATATTTTTAATTATATATTTATATTCAATTTCAACAATAATTATTTTTTTATCATGTTAATCTTTCTTCACCTACCTTTTTATTAAAATTGTTGGAAATTTTCTTTTTCTTCAGAGACAATGTATTAATCTAAATTAATTTCAATTATTCAAGTTTTTAATATCATTAATTTTACAAAGTCGAATAATTTTAATATTTTAAAATAATGATAAAAATGATCTAATAGTATTATTAAATTTATATAAATTAATATTTTTAAATTAAAATATAATATTATATAATACATATTATTTATATATTATTAAACAATAAAAAATATATAAAAATAAATAATTATTCTGAATTTATAAAATTATAAAAGCAATTTAGTGAATGTGATAATGCTATAACGAGTTTAAAAAAAAGGTAATTTGAACTAACGTGAATACGACATAGACATGAGAAATAAAAAAAAAAATTAATGCAGTCGAGAACTCACACAAATGCTCTAATAATAATAATAATAATAATATTTCCTTTGTTCCATAAGAAGATATCATTTTTCACTTTTGTCCTTCCATAACATTTCTTAATTTAGTAACCGTACTACCTATCTAACATAATTAATACCTTTACAATTTCTAATATATTATACAAATATTGTTACTTTTTTATTTAATAAGGGCAAGTCTGTCTTTTGCACTATAGACTAATATAATACAATATTAAAAAAATTATGTGCAAAAAACGAATATTACTCTTCTTGCGGAACATGGGTAATAATAATCCATGTTGTATTTCCATGTCAATAAATCTATGAATTGAAAGAATAGCTTCACACAGTTTCACTGCAAACACATCAATGGCTTTGCCCTCTTTTTCTTCTGCAAATTCCTTAGCGAAAGGTTCTTCTCATTACAATTACTGCACATCATCCTTTTCCTCATCTTCATTATATTCATCTTCTTACAACCTCGTGCACTCCCAACTCATCCTGGCCGTCAGATCACCTGTTCGAATACGCTCCACGCTGCAGATCATCAATGGCTCTATCCAACATTCGTCTCCGGTAACTTGCATGAATAATTATACAGCATTCTTTAATTACTAAATTTTTTTGGCAAAATTGTTTATAATTATCTGAGATTTGAAAAGTTAAAAATATTGCATAGAATCTCTAATGTCACATTTACCTTTTGCGCGTCATTGTATTTAACATTAAAAATATCTTGATATTTTATTAATTTAAGGATAAACTGTTTTTTAGTCCCTCAACTGGACCCCCTTATCATTTTAGTCCCGTAAGTGGAGTCTGTCGCAAACTAGTCCCGTAAGTAGAAAATTTTCACTATTTTAGTCCTCCGGCGCCAGAGACATCCGCGTGGCTCGCCGGAGGCCACGTGTCCACCAGGTGTCCCGCCAGGTCAGCGACACCTAGCTGACACGTGAATTTATTTATTTATTTTTTAATTTTTTTAATTTTTTTAATTGGACCAAATAAAAAAATAAAAAATGCAAATAAAATTAAAAATAAATTAAAAATAAGTTTTTTAAAAAAAATAAAAAATCCACGTGTCCGCCAGGTGTCGCTGACCTGGCAGACACATCACCTCCGGCGAGCCACGCGGGCGTCTCCGGCGCTGGAGGACTAAAACAGCGAAATTTTTTCACTTATGGGACTAGTTTGCAACAGGCTTCACTTACGGGACTAAAATGATAAAGGGGTCCAGTTACGGGACTAAAAAAACAGTTTACCCTTAATTTAAATATTTCTGCAATTTTTTCTTAATTTGTACTACATTTTGATATAACAATTAATATTAAAAGATCAACACGCAAAAAAAAAAAAATGAGACCTTAGAGCCGAACGGAGGTAATAATTTTATTTTATTTTTTGCAATGTTTCAAAAATATGAAAAAGTCATCTAATTTTTAAATCAAGGGGAAATGGTGCAAAGCAGTCATTAGTAATTTTGCTAATTCTTTTTTAAATCAAACTCTAAAAAACATAATACATAGCCCTGAGCTTTTAGCAGAGAAACATGGTTGCTTTGGAACCTACTAAACCTATTGAGGAGGTTCGAGAAAGGACAAGAAGAACTTTGCAGAGAGAATCGGATCCAACGGCTGCGATGAAGTTGATCGACACCCTTCAATGGCTGGGAATCTCTTATCATTATGAAGAAGATATTGATTTGTGGTTGGAGAAATTACAGCATTGGGATGTTGGGGAAGATGACTTACAGGGCACAGCTTTACGTTTTCGACTACTACGACAAAATGCAAGGCCTGTTAGCTCAGGTACTTCATCTTTATTTCATGCAGCGGAATCAGAACTTAGCCGAGAGAAGGGTTAATTTTCTAAAATTTGAAAATAATGCAGTTATATTTAATTTATACATATCAAAACACACATATATATATATATATATATTTATTTTCGGGTAATTATATTTTCGGCAACTAAAAATTTGTTTGGTTTTAATTTGAAGTTAAATATTATATATTTTTTGTTTAAATAATATTTTAATAATATATATTTTTATTAAAAATTATACAAATTAAATAATAATAATATTTATGATTTAAAATAAAAATAAAATAAATCTTTATTTTCAATATTTTTTATGATTTTTTATTAATTTTTATATTATATATATACATATATTTAATAAAAAAAAAAGTGGAATGAGGTGGGGCGGGATGGCCCCCTCTTGCTGTACCGTAGATCCGCCTCTGATTCCATTTTATACAAAATATGGATGCTGATTTAGAAGAGGATAAAAAATATATATAATACATAAATAATTGTTAATCTATATTGTTTTTTAATTTTATATATGTTATGTTAATATAGATCATATGCTATGATAAATTATGTATAGACGATTGATTGAGTTGTGTTGTCCTTTCATGTATTGTATTTATATTATATAGAAACAGTATATATTTTGTGCTTCGATTTAATTAGTTGGAAGAGTACCAACCGTCGTAATTTAATTTGGACATTGTTTAGATCGTAAAAAAATTTCATTTTAATTTTACTATTTTTGTAAACAATGGACAGATGTTTTTCGAAAATTCATGGTGAAAGAACAAAACAAAGAGGGGCTATTGAGTTTATACGAAGCTTCATATTTAGGTGCAAATGGTGAGGATACCTTATCCGATGCCATGAAATTCGCAAAAAATGAACTGAAATCTTCGCCGGTGCCACAAAATATATCGAGACGTGTGGCCCGAGCCCTTGAGCTTCCAAGGCATCTACGGATGGAACGGTTGGAATCAAGATTGTACATCAACGAATACCATTATCAAGACAACCATTGTCCGATTCTTCTAAAACATGCAATAGTTGATTACAATGAGGTCCAGTTATTACATCAAACTGAACTTGCCGAGTTATCAAGGTAACATTTCAAACCATACCATGTGTGTGTATAGATCCAAATTTTGGATTTGTTTATATTGACTTGTAAATTTTATTTTATTTTTTTTGATAATTTAGGTGGTGGAATCATTTGGGACTAATTGAATCTTTGGGGTTCGCACGGGATCGTCTCATTGAGTGTTTCTTGTGGACTGTTGGGATTCTCCCGGACCCGAAGTATTCACATGTCCGAGTAGAAGTGGCTAAGTCCCTTGCACTCTTAACTGTAATCGACGATGTTTTTGACATGTTTGCCCCGATGAATGAACTTCATCTTTTCACACAAGCAATTCAAAGGCAAGAAAATAATCAAAATCTCCCTTCGTCCGTCTCTAAGGATTACATTTACCTTTTGCATCATTATATTTAATATTAAAAATATCTGTATATTTGTATAATTTTTTTTTGTACAAATATCATTCTATTAGTATTATAAGATACTAATTGAAGTATTTTTACAATTTTTTCTTAATTTATACTACGTTTTGATATAATAATTAATATTCAAAGATCAATACGTAAAAAAGTAAATGAGACCCTTAGAGCCGGACGGAGGTACAATTTCACAATTACTTAACCAATTGAATAATTACAATGTAATTTTTTCTATTTTTTATTATTTTTTTTTTCAGGTGGAATCTTGATATGATTGAGCAACTTCCCGAATACATGAAAGTATGCTATATGGCATTGTACAACACTACGAATGAAATTGCTTTCAAGGTCCTCAAAGAACAAAAGAGGAATATTCTCCCATTTCTTGCTAAAGTGGTATACATGATCTTTATGAATACAAAAATTGTCCCATTACTAATTCTTCTTCTTCATCTTCCTTGTAATATATTCATTTATTATTAGTCGTGTTTTTTGTTATAATCAACAGTGGATCGACACAATCGAAGGGTATTTGATCGAAGCCGAGTGGTTCAAAAATGGAAGTGTACCAAGTGCAGAAGATTATCTGAGAAATGGTGTAGCAACATCCGGATCATACATGGCCTTGGTTAACATATTCTTCTTGATGGGCGAAGGACTTACCACTCAAAATGTGAAGTTAATGGCAAAACCCTATCCAAAGCTATTTTCAAATTCGGGAACTATTCTTCGACTTTGGGATGATCTCGGAACTACTAAGGTAATCATATAATATTTTATTCTTAGAAATACCTCTGCTATATTGACAAAAATATCAAAATGAAGAACTTATTAGTATATGCATTAAAAAAAATACGCTTATTTTTCTTATTTATCTCTAAAAAATAGGGCTTGTTTGTTTTTTGAAATAAAATCATACTATTTTTTTTTTACGACTTCTAACCATTGTTTTATACTTTTCTTAGTATAAAAGGCAAAATATACACATTACATTAAAACTTGTAGCCAAACCAAATGAACTTATTTTTACATGACAAAAATATTATGTAATTTGGAAAGTCCGCATCATACTTAAAAATTGCATGAGGTTTCTATATTTTCGAAAACATAGTAGTTTCTTAATTATGAAAGTAGAATATATGCGAACTCTTGTGATTATTAATTTTTCTTTTCTAGTTAGGAAATTAGTACTCCGACAATAAATTTAAATATTTGGAATGTAGGAAGAACAAGATCTTGGAGACAATTCATCGATAATAACTTCTTTGATGAAGTATAGAAGAAGTGAAAATGAAGGTGAAGCTAAAGACTATGTTATGGAGCTTATTCGTAGCTTGTGGAAAGATATGAACGGCGAGCTTCTCGAATCTAATCTATTGCCCTTGCCGATGTCGAAGGCATGCTTCAATATGTCAAGAACATCGCAAGTTGTTTACCAACACAAAGAAGATAGTTATTTTTCAAGTGTGAAAAAAGTTGTTAATTTTCTACTTTTTGAACAAATTGATAATTGAAATGATATTGTTGATCCCTTCTATATACTACATTGATGTATATTTTCATCTTTCTGAATTAATTTAAGAAAAAATTATAGAGAAAAATACTTGTAAAGCTTAATATATATTGCATGTCGACACAATTCAAAGTGTACCAACTAAAATTGAGAAAATAAGCTCAAAAACATTTATTGCTCTATTTGTATACATATATATATATTTTTAAGTTAACATTATTCATGAACGAACAATAGTTTTTTAAAAAAATATATCACATTAAATATTTATATCTTGTTACAAAATATTATATTAAATACTCAACTTTTTGTTATTTTAAAAATTTTTCAAACATAAGAAACTCAAAAAACCTCGTTAAACAGAGTTTTTTTTGGATGTATAAAAATATGTTGGAAGTATTTTGAAAATTTATATACATATTTTTGGACTAGCCCAATTTGAGTTTGTTATTAGCAAGTGACTCTTTTAGTATTTATTTTTTATTTTTATTTTTTGAGTTTATATGGTTAGCTTTTAGAAATCAAGAAAATATTATTAAAATTTTTACTTTTTTTATATATTTCGTTAAAAAAAGATTAATAATAGTATAATTTTATTGAGTTTGTTGACAATGTATTGAGAATAGTATACATTTAAAGCAAATAAACCCTCATAAATACAAATATGTAATGAGATGTTTTTAATTAAAAATAAATTTTAAATAATATTTAATTGAAAGTATTTCTTGAATTTAATATTTATAAAAAAAAATTGGTAAATGGAGTACAAAATAATATTAAAAATATAAATAAACACAAGAAGTGAATCTTTTCAATTTGGTAAACCTAGCAACAAACCAAAAGAACATGCTACTGTTGGACAACAATAAATTTTGGATCAGGTAGGAGCATCAACGGAACTACGTTACGGTTTGGGGAAGTCAATTTGACCTCCCAACCCAAATTTTTTTATAATTTTTTTAGTATTAAAAATATCAATTCTTATGTATTTATATACAATTTATCCTAAAACTATTTAAATTTATATATAATTAAGTCATTATTATTTATTTAAATTTATTAGCTAAATATTAAATAAATTATAATATTTTACTCCCGAGATTAAAATGCTAATTTCGTCACTGGTAGGAGGACCATAATTATGCTTTAAAAGTAATTACAAATAGTTATATTAATTATAATATTTAATCACTTTAAAAATTTAAATGATTAAATTATAAGGCATAAATATGAAATTCAGCACATCAACTCATCTCATAAACTTTTATTAGAAAACAATAAATTAGTGCAGAACAGTATCAGTGACGTTAATAATAATACTGTTGTAATACCAAATAGAGTTTACAAAACAAAAAACTAGTGCAAGAGTGCAATAGCAATAAACTAAACAAATGTTGAAAGATAAACTTTTAATATGACAATAGTGTTGTAATACCACATAAATTTTTTCTTTTTTATTTGAATTGCATTTAGATATTTGAATTTGTTATTAACTAATATTCAATATGATCTTTTTTTAAAAAAAATATACTTTTTGGGAAAATATTGAATTTAAATAATTGATAAAAATTTTGGAGGAAAATAACGAAATTGTATATTTTAAAAATAGGAGTTTACAAGATAAATATAGTAGTGGACTCAGATTTAAATCATGAAGAAAATATTTAAATCTAACAAATAATATCAAAGAAATATTTAAATTTAACATCCTCTCAAACTCAAGTGGGGCAGTAGAGACCAACTTGAGTTTGTCCAAGAGTAATAGAAAACGGTCTGGAATAAGAGACTTGGTGAAGATATCTGATATCTGATCTGCAGAGGATATTGGAAAGAAATGAACTCCCCCATTGACAACATGTTGTCGAATGAAGTTACAGTCAAACTCAATATGCTTGATGCGCTCATGGAAGGTATCATTATGGGTCATCTTCATAGCACTTTGACTATCACAGTGAAGAGCCGTAGAAGATGGCTGAGGGGCACCAAGATCAATGAGTAGCCGTCAAAGCCACAAAAGTTCTGAAGTAGAGTAAGCAAGAGCACGATACTCTGACTCGGCACTCGAGCGAGAAACTAAAGTTTGCTTCTTGTTGAACCAAGAAATAAAAGAATCACTCAGGAAGAAGCATAAACTAGTGGTCAAGCGACGTCGGTGGGATCATCAGCCCAATCAGCATCAAAGTAACCGCTGAGAGTTAAGGACGAGTGAGAAGAGAAGTGTAAGCCATGCAGAAGAGTAAACGAAGAATATGTAAGACGGAAGAGTGGTGAGAGATCCTCGGAGTTGTCATGAACTGACTCACAATATGGACTGCATGAGCGATATCTGGTTGAGTGACAGTCAAATAGATCAAGCTCCCAACAAGATGACGTAGAGGGTAAGATCATCAAGAAGAGAGCCATCATAAGAGGTAAGTTGAACGTCGTAGGCAAGTGGTATGGAGATTACCTGACAGTCTGTGAGACCAGCTCGAGCAAGAAGATCGGAGACATACTTAGCCTGGGACAGAAAGAAACCATCGGGAGAATCAGATACTTCAAGCCCCAAAAAGTAACGAAGGGGACCCAAGCTCTTCATCTCAAACTACTGGCTAAGATATGCTTGTAGATCATAAATACTTGATGCATCATCTCCCGTGATGATCGTATCATCAACATAAAATAAAAGTATCATTATCCCAAATAAAGAACGATGAAGAAATAAACCAAAGTCGTAAGCACATGTGGTAAAACCAAACTCCAATAGTACAGCGCTAAATGTAGTATACCAAGCCCGAAGGGCCTGCTTCAACCCGTATAAAGCACGGTATAAGCGACAAACTTTTCCAAAAGACGAGAAACCTGGAGGAGGGATCATATAAACCTTTTCAGAAAATGTGCAATGTAGGAATGCATTCTTGACATCTAACTGAAGAAAGGACCACTGACGAACAGCCGCAACGGCAAGAAGACAACAAACAGTAGTGAGACGAGCAACGGGAGCGAAGGTCTCCTCAAAGTCAATTACATACTCTTAGGAATAACCTTTTGCCACCAGACGAGCCTTATAATGCTCAATGGAACCATCAGAGTGTGTCTTGATTTTAAAAACCCAATTGCACTTAATAGGGGTCTTCCCATAGGGCAAATCCATTAAATCCCAAGTGTGAGTTTTTTCCAGAGCATGCAATTCCTTAGTCATTGCTTGTTGTCATAATCGATCAGCATTCGCCTCATGAAATGACTTAGGTTCATGATGAGATAAAATGATAGAGTAACAATGCTAATCATTGAGGTGAGAAAAAGGTTTACTTACACGAGTGGAGCAACGACAAGTAGGGAGAGGCGCAAGCGGATCCACTCCAGGAGACGGTGACAAGACAGATTGATCAATGAGCTGTGGCGATGAAGAGGAAGGGGTGTTTGGGAAGAGATCGGAGAGAGAAGACGAAAAAAAGAGAGAATATGAGTGAAACGGTGTGCTAAACCTGGATAAGGTGGAGAAATATGTGTGGTCCGAAAATGTGACATGATGAAATATGCGCAACCGATTAGAGATAGGATCCCAAAATCTATAACCCTTATTTTCGACGCCATAACCCAAGAAACAACACAAACGAGCTCGGGGGTGAAGCTTTGTTCGCTTATGGGGAAGGAGGAGGACAAAGCCCACACAACCAAATGAATGGAAAAACTACAATCAAGGGACTGACCAAATAGACGCACGAAGAGACTAACATCATGGAGGACTGACGAAGGTAACCGATTAATGTTGTAAATGGCCGTCAAGGCTGCTTACCCCCAACACCGCTGAGAGTGCATACCAACTCTCCTATAATAAAATATATTAATATATTATATTTCACATTTTGGATTATTCAGATTTTAAGTATACTAATTCAAATCAATCTGAAAATTTAAAATTTATAAAATATTCAATCCGAATTAATTAAAAAATTCGAAAAATCCGAACAAAATTTTTAATTTTTTTTTGGTTTGAATCAAATATTCAAATTTCGGATATTTATGGTCGTTCCTAAATTTAAGTAAATGGGACAACAAGTTTTGCATATTATATGAAGGCTTCAACACAGATATACAGATGACAAGGTAATTTGGGGATTTTATTGGGTTAACAACGAAAATGGCCGGATATAACTCTGTATCGTGATAAACTCACTTTCCGAATACGATATTTTGACCCAATTCCTACCAAGGGTTACACAAAATTCGTATTGGGATCATACAATCGAGACAAGGTGGACGTAAGGAATAAAGTGAGTATAAAGGATATAATTTCTTGCAGAAATAAAAATACGGAATGTGTTTTTCTTGTTTTTAATTATCTCAATCAATTAAATCTGCAAATGGGACTAACACATCTATTTAAAGATCATAAGTAACTTTCATTCAAATTGAATAGACACAATAGTTCAATTTAAATTTCAATTTCAAAATAAATGGGTGTATTATTTAAATTCAAATATTAATTTGAATTCAAAATAAATTGATGTATTAATTCAATTCAAACAAAATTTTGAATTCATAATTTAAATATTATTAGACACATCAATTCATAAATAAACACAATTTTGAAATTAAAATTCTAGAAAAAATCCAAAATAGTCTGTACCACTTTGTTTTGCCCATATTTTAGTTAGCTATTATATTCTGTCCCATATATTTAATTACAGAACTTCCAGATTTGTAGACGGCAGACTTAGTCATGCCTATAACTAAAACCGTATCAACAATCTGTCCCAAAATTTGTGTTACTTGTCAAAATCATATTGAAATTAGCTTCTTCGAGGGCGCACTCCACGCATCCCATCCCGAAGTTCACTTAATCCCAAAATTTATTAGTCTCGAATAAATCCAATTACGCTAAAATTACCAACAATCCTCCCCCATTTTAGTGTAATCATTGATTTGTTCACAAATTAAATCACATCCATACACAATAAATTCATACATAAACGAGAATGTCACGAAGATTGAATTTTTGAATTAGTACAATACACGTTACAAATATTCGAGAATCAAGGTGTCGCTAAGGATTGAACCCTTTCAACTCATTTGAATACATGTAGGCAAAGTACACACGAATTTACATTTCCCTTGGTTCCAACTTGACACTTTTCAAGCCATGTGTCCATATCCATTTGCGAGCACATCGAAAGCAAGTCCGAACTTTCTTGAAGTGGCAAAACATCATGCTCGTATAGGTAGCTCCTTTAGTTTCGCTCCTGCATAAGCAATTTTTCAAAGGCATTATTAAGAGATATAATCTTAACCTACTGTTCTTGCAGGTTTGAACGCATACCTGGGATGTCTGAATAAAATCCGTTCCAATTTTCCCAATATGAGCTTTCCACATTGAATTCAGTTTCTAGCGTCATATTAGAAGGGAATTGGGTGTCTCACATTAGGAAGATTTAATGGACTTCAATCTCATCCCAATCAACGACTTGTGCACTAAGTCTCTCGCCAACCCTTTTGTCAAACAGTCGGCTAAATTATGTTCTGACCGAATAAACTCAACCGATATCACCTCATTCATGATTAAATCATGACTCATGCTATGTCTCACACCTATGTGTCGAAACTTACCATTATAGATTTCACTATAAGTTTTAGACATTGTTGAGGCACTATCACAACGAATAGAGATGGGTGGCACCGGTTTCGGCCATAACGGAATCTCATATACCAGATTATGAAGCCATTCAGCTTCCTTTCCAGCCGCAACTAATGCTACAAATTCAGATTCCATCATAGAACTTGTGATGCACGTTTGCTTCTTGGAAGCCCAACAAATTGCACATCCCCCAATCAAAGACATTCATCCAGTGGTGGAAGAATGATCTTCTGCATGGCTTATCCAACTCGTGTTCGAGTATCCTTCCAAAAATGAAGGAAAACTAAAATATGACAAACCATAATTAACAGTATTTTAATATTTATCCCCCACACAATTTAAGGAACTTCCCTAATTGCAGTATGGGTGTGCAGATTGTTGTTGCCAGACAACCTGCACACTTGTTGGCGTTTCGACCGCTACTAATGATATAAGGCAATATTGGTAATAGCCACTTAATCTAGTAGCTGACAACAATTCATAGAGAATTCTCACATCCATTTCAAATTCACTCATAATGTTATAAAAATCAGATTACCAATAATCTGAATAACCTTATCTGAAAATTATTTTGTATAAAATTCCAGATGTTTCAATTCATATAATCTCAATTGCATCAATTTCATATATTGGAAACATCTATTTCACAAACTTCAGCCATAAAATCAATCAAACATTTGAACCGAATGTAAGTAAAGTAACTTAACATTAACATTCTTGAATTTACAACATACACTCGACAATCTACACAATGTCGATCATATATTATTTGTATACAAACATATCTTAATCATACTAATTACTTGCAGTAATTATTATCAACTATGTACACAATGTCTTGAGACTCAAGACATAAACCACTAATTATTTACAGTAATTAGAATTCATTCGACTTATTTTTCTTTGCACGGTGATTCTCCTTTCCAACTCGGCAATCACGTTTGATATGACCGGATTTTCCACAAATCCAACAAGCCAATTTTGACTTCTTCATGGATCTTCTATTGAATTCAGAAAGCTTGCATTCTTTACCATGATTGAACTTGAAATTCTTTTCTTTATGCTCATCAACCATGTTTACAGATGGTTCTACAATATCATTGTCTTGATCATTTTCCTGCATTCTTATAGATTCTTCTATGCGCAGATGGCTTCCGAATTCTACTAATGTCAACTCTTCCTTCTTGTGTTTAAGCATTCGCTTAAATTCCTTCCATGCAGGCGGCAACTTGTCGATGATGCATGAAACAACAATGGATTCATCCATCTTCATGTCGTGTTGCATGAACTGACCAAGGATGCGAAAGAGCTCGTTGTACTGCTTCATCACATGCCTCGAATTAACCATCTTATAGTTGTTGAAGTCACTTACCAAGAATTTCTTGCTCGAAGCGTCTTCAGCCATGTATTTAGATTCGAGTGTCTCCCAAAGTTCCTTGGTTGAATCCATATTTTGATAAATATCGAAAAGTAGATCAGACATTGCATTGAGAATATGACCACGACAAATGTAGTCATCATTCTCCCATTTGCTCCTACGACGCGTTGCCTCCAAAGTTTCATCTTCGGTTTCCTCGGGGCATGGAGTTCTCAGGACATACACGGCCTTCAAAGTTGTGAGAATGAAGTGCATCTTCTTCTGCCAGCGACGGAAATCGACGCCTTCGAACATTGTCAACTTGCCAAACTTGCTCGACATATCCCTTGGTAGGAATTTGGTCAAAATATCGTATTCGGAAAGTGAGCTTATCGATACAGACGACCATTTTTTTTGTTAACCTAATAAAATCCCCAATAGGTAATTCTCTCAACTTATGCTTTCACTTTCACAATTATTTACTCATGACGTGCGTGACATGGCACATTTGTCTAAAAAGTTACACATTATTTTGAATCTATTTCATCACATAAAACCCTAAAGCCAATTGCCAATTTAACAAATTCAATACATCGGATTAATTCAAAACAATAAATATATTTAAAGCCTTAATACATAACTGCATAGAAATATTCAATTTTTAATTGGATTGTAAAGTATTAAGTCCACGAAACTATCAACGTTGGAAAAGTAAGAGTTTTCTTGATGTTGATAGATGACTTGTGAAGTTCTTGACATATTGAAACAAGTGTGGATGAGAGTCAATGGAAACTTGCTCCAACCTAAAAGCTCCCTGTTTAGATCTTTCCACAAAGTCCGAATGAGTTCTATTATGTGTTCTCTAGCATCGTCTTCAGATAAATTTTTTTCCTTCATGAGTAGTGTTACAACGGATGAATTGTCTCCTCGATCTTTTTCCTCCTAGAATTTGCATAAACCATTACATATAAACCATAAGTATATAAAGTGGTGATACAAATTGATGTATATTGGATATGTTACGTGGTTCGAAATAATTACGTACCTTTGAAGTGCCAAGATCATCCCAAAGCCGAAGAATCATTCCTGAAATTGAAAATATTGTTGCATACGGCTTTACCATATATTTCACATTTTGTTCATTGATACCTTCACCTATCAAGAAGAATGCAAACACTAAAGCCATGTAGGATCCGGATGTTGTTACTCCATTCCTTAAATAATCTTCGACGGACGGTGTTTGGCCATTGTTGAACCACTCAGCTTCGACAAAAAAAGCTTCTATGGTATCAATCCACTGTTACATTGGGTAACTCATAAGTCAACTAGAAGATTAATATATTCTTTTTGTATCAAGTCAATGCATCTTTTTTATTATTTTGGTTTGTTGTACTCGAAATTAGCAATTTTTAATTATAGTTAAAAAATCATATCTAAATTCTAAAATATTATTAATTTTTACAAAAATATTCATTTACTTTGTACTTTCAATGGCAAAATTTTCAAAATCATCGTAGATATTTTTACTAACTTATAAAATACTATTATTTTGTACTATAATACAAAAGGGCAAAGGGATATACTGAGTTGAGTTGAGACGGAGAGAATATATAGTTTATGAAATAAATGTACAATTTACTAGTAATTCGAACATGGCATGTAAGATATAACATTGTTTCTTTTATAGGCTGAAATGAATAATTACCGTTTTCGCAAGGAATTGGAGTACGTTTCTCCCTTGTTCTTTGAGAATATGGTAGGCAATTTCATTAGTTGTATTGTAGAGCGCCATAAAGCATATTTTCATGTATTCAGGAAGTTCTTCTATTGCATTGAGATCCCATCTAAAAAATTGTTATAGATTGTTATATGTGTTTATTATAAACACATAAAATTAATACTACATGTTTTAATTTTTGCATAATATTCATTTGTGTTATATTAAAGTATACATAATCACTCTCTCCATCCAAAGGTAATGTTAGTTGCAAATATTAGCTAATTATTAAAGTTCAATGCAAATAAAAGAGGTCATACATATTAAAAAGACATTTTTTGAAAAAAAAAAAGAAAAAAGAAAAACATCGAAAAACACAAAAATTGATCAAACCTTCGTATCATAGTTTCTAAAATTAAGTTAGGGTTCATCTTCTACGTGAAAGTGTGAAATAAACAATTGATTAATTTTTTTTTTTTTTTTATTTCAAAATTGATTTTTATAACATTTCACCCCTTTTTGTTACATAGCACTTGCATAATTAAGTGCAAATTTACAAATAATGGCAGTTTTGGATAGAGAGGGTGTTTTGCTTACTTCAATGTAACATAAGAAAATATAATGCAATAAATAAAACACATTACTTTTTATGTATTTATGATTTAAAAAAAAAAAGAAAAACAAAACATAAGTTATTATGCAATTTATCAAGGTTATGTATATTATGAAAGAAAGAAAATTTATTGAATATTCTTCCAGAAGCTCTTCTATTGTATCAAGATCCAACTTAGGTATATCACTTACTTCTTTGTTGTCTGTGTAAAGAGCGCAAGTTCTTCGATGGTACCATAGGTATCAAAAATGTCGTCAATGACTAACAAAATGGCTATGCATTTAGCCATTTCTATTCGGACAACGGAATACTTGGGATGTGGAAAAACTCCAACTGTCCACAAAAAACATTCCATGGGACGATTTCTGGCAAAACTTAGTTTGTCAATAAGCCCTAAGTGCTTCAGCCACCTTCCCAATAATGAACGTAAGATTATTGAAAATATAAAATATAAAAAAGGAAATGATTTAGGAATTATTCGAATATGTAGAATTAGGGGTTATATAAAATACCTGGATACCTCAGCAAGTTCCATTTGATATAGTGATTGGACATGATTATAATCAGATTTTGCCAATTTTAAAAGATGGTCATTGGGATGGTTTTGGTTGTAGTATTCATCAATATACAATCTCGATTCTAGCCTTTCCATTCTCATGTGCCGAGGAAGTTCGAGGGCTCGACTGATTAGCCTCGAAAGATGTTGTGGCAACGCCGTGCCCCTAGCCGTTGATTTTAGTTCTGCTTCGGCGAATGTCATGGCCTTTGATAGTATATACTCATCATTTGTACCTAAATACGATGCTTCATATAAACATAGTAGGCCCTCTTTGTCTTGGTTTTCAACCATGAATTTTGTGAAGATATCTGCCAATAATTTGAGTACAAAAAGGTTATAATTGATACATTTGGAAAAATAAACACCCCATCAATTTCAGATTTTATTTTTTTTTCCAAATATTGAAGAAAAATGGAACTGAATATATATAAAGTAAATTAAGGTTGTACAATACCCGAGTTAACTGGCCTTGCATTTTGTCTAAGTAGTCGAAAACGTATAGCTGTGGCTTGTAAATCATGTTCAGGAGCTTCCCAATGTTGTAGTTTCTCCAACCAGAAATCAATCTCTTCCTCGTACTGATAGGAAATTCCTAGCCATTGGAGGGTGTCAATCAGCTTCATTGCAGCCATTGGATCCAAATCTCTTCCTAGAGTCCTTCTTGTTTTTTCTTTCAGTTCTTCCATGGTTGAAGTACATTCTTTTCCTACTATGCATTTCTCCTCCTGTTTTTTTTATTGATTTCATACTTTCAGTTAAAACCCTCACCAAAAAAAAAAAAAAAAAGTACCTCAAAGAAAAACAACTGATAATAAGTTCGGCAATGTTAAATCCTATGAATGATCGATATATAGCAATGTCAATTTGTCATAAGCATAGAGCGTTTGTTTGGTTTTATTTGAGTTCAATTTTTGTTTAAATACTACTCCCTCAGTCCCACATATCATGTCACCGTTTCTGTCACACTTTAATCTCATTTTAAATTTTTTAATTTATTTTTTTAAAATTTTAATTAAACTAATTAGTTATCTTAATCTTAATTTATAATTATTTATATTATAGGATAATTATTTTTACCAATACATTCTTAATTATTTACTAATTACACCCCTCCTAAAATACCGTGTGTACAGTGTCGCAAACACGGTACGTGGGACGGAGGGATATTTTAATATGATATTTTATAAGATGCAATAATATATTTGTATTGAATAGAAGTATTTTTATTTCAAATAAAATGCAAATAAATTCCTAATTTCATTTTTGTCGGGTATATTTTAGCCATCAAAATTTTGTTCTGTGTCTTTGTTTGTAATTTTGTCACTAATTGTATACATTAACATCACCTGAAGATTACATAGCATTCACATTAATAATCATGGGAAAAGAACAACTACAACAATAACAATAATAATAATAACATATAAATTTAATAATTCAGCACACACACACGGAGAAATTATTTAAATTTTTTTCATAATAATCTATGTAGAAACAAAATATTTCTTCGGAAAAACCCAAGTCATAGAACTAAGTAAGTTATACTCGTGATCGACATGGTATATAGAAGAGCATTAATTGAAAAAGGAAGCCATTACTGAAGTCATGGAGGGCTTGAGAGAGCTATTGACATGGAATTCCCTACGTCCCATTGACACCCACAAAAACTTGCAACCATTCCAAGGAAAACAACGATCAGAAAAGGAAGAAGAAGAAGAAAAAGGCACGTGCAAGGCATGAGAATTCGATCGAATTTTACATAGCATTAGTGTATCCATGGTTGCTATTTTAACAGCAAGTTGTGTATTGCCAACCACTTTATTTAAATTTAAGATGTTGAAAGTTTATTTCGTTGGGAAAAAAACAAGGTCTTTATATAAAAGATACAATTTAGGAGAGGGGAGGGGTGGTAGAACAAGATTAGTTAAAGTCCCTATGTTTTAAACTTACATTTTTAAATAACTAGATTGAAAATCGTGCTTTTTTTCTTTTTCCCAATTGAAATTTTAGGGTGTGTTCTTTTTAGGGTTTGGATTTTGTATTTAAGGTTTTGAATAATAAAAATTTTGAATTGAAATAGTTACACGATATGATATAAATAGGCGTTGATTTAATGTTTAAATGTAACATTGATTTTTAATATAATATAAAAAATAAAAAATAAATTTTTGATTTGGTATTTTTGAAAAAAATTTAATAAATAATAAAATCGAGAATTTTTAATGAATAGTAAAATCCTGATAGAAAATGAATTTTTTATTTTATTTCACTTTAAAAAAAAAAAAAGAAAAACAAAAACTAAGTCAATACAAGTAGTTTGATTTTGTTTATGTATGAACTTCTATTAATTAGAACAGTTCCATGTTTGAATGCAAGGAAGTTAGTTAATGTTGAAACGTGACTTGGATTTAGCGGTCTACCCGATCCTAAACCAAAGCGAAAGGGCTGTTTCAATTGGCAGGGTTCTTTTTGGGCTTATCCTAATTAATAACAAATGGACTTAGGGTTTAGGGTGTTTTGGGGTGCTTATAAATAGACAACTATGGTTCTTAGTCGGATGACATATTGTAAATCTCTGAATCAGTATAATAAAATCTCTCCGGTTCCTGCCCGTGGACGTAGGTTGACACACCGTCACCGAACCACGTAAAACCTCTGAGTTCTTTATTTGCTTTCTTTCTCGTTTTCTCATAACAAGTGGTATCAGAGCCATATCCCATTGATTGAAAATGTCCTCGTATAAATTTGATCTGGAGAAGTTTAATGGGTCGAATGACTTCACGCTCTGGAAGGTCAAGATGAGGGCACTTCTAGTTCAACAAGGATGTGCGGCTGCGTTGGAGGGAGAAGACAAGTTTCCTAAAGACACGAAGGAGGAGGTAAATAAGGAGATTTTGGCAAGGGCTCATTCCGCGATCTTGCTGTCAGTTACTGATGAGGTGTTACGGGAGGTTGTAGATCAGACAACGGCTTTTGGGTTATGGAATAAACTGTGTGAGAAGTACCAAAACAACTCCCTCACGAACAGGCTATATCAGAAGCAACGTCTTTACACCCTCCGGATGTCCGAAAGTACTCAGGTAAAGGATCATCTTGATACCTTTAACCGTATCATTCTTGATCTTCAAGGAGTTGAGGTTAAAGTAGATGATGAAGACCAAGCCCTAATTTTATTGTGTTCACTACCTGGTTCATATGAGAATTTTGTAGATACTATGCTATATGGTAGAACTACAATTTCTGTTAATGATGTGAAAGATGCCCTTATGTCCAAAGAATTGAAAAGAAAGGTTTCTCTGGAAGAGGGTTCTGGTTCAGGTCTGTTTGCAGGTAGGGGAAGACCACATGAGAGGGGTAACGGGAATGGGAGGTCGCGTTCAAAATCAAAATCCTCTAGCAAAGTTAAGTGTTATCTTTGCAAGGAGAAAGGGCACGTTAAAAGGGATTGTCCACAAAAGAAGGGAAATACAAAAGTTGATTCTAGTAACAGTGGCAGCAGTGCTGCTGTGGTACAAGACAGTTCTGATGATGGGGACTTTGGTGAAGTTCTGACAGCGTGTAGTGCTAGTACTGCTGATTCCTGGATTATGGATACCGGTGCTTCTCACCATATGACGTTCTCTTGTGATCTACTCACTTCTTTTAAGGAGTGGAATGGAACGGTGAAGTTAGGTGATGATGGGGTTCTAGCCATAAAAGGGAGCGGGGTAGTGCAGATAAAATTACATGACGGTACTGTCAGGAAATTTGACTGTTGGTATGTTCCTGAACTCAGAAAGAATTTGATTTCTCTTGGGACCTTAGCCAAGAATGGTTTAAAATATCATGGTGAAGGTGAGTGGGTGAAAGTCCTGAAAGGTGCGCTGGTAATGATGAAGGGAAAACTATAGCATGGAATTTATTTTCTACAGGGCAGTTCAGTGATGGGAACGGCGGCGGTATCTCAGTCCTTGGATAAACACGATGACAGGACAAATTTGTGGCACCGGCGATTAGGTCACATGAGTGAGCTAGGGTTGTCTGTGTTGAGCAAGCAGGGTTTATTTGGTGGGGATGTGATAGGTAAAATTCAATTCTGTGAGGCTTGTGTAAAAGGGAAGCAACGCAGGGTGAGGTTTAGTACCTGTCATCACACTTCAAAAGAAATTCTGGAGTATGTTCATTCAGATATATGGGGTCCCTCTCCGGTGAAATCGCAGGGCGGGTGTTCTTACTTTGTCACTTTCATAGATGATTATTCGAGAAAGGTCTGGTTGTACTTTCTAAAGACTAAAGATGAGGTGTTTGGGAAGTTCAAGGAGTGGAAGACCATGGTTGAAAAACGGACGGGTAAACAGGTCAAGACTCTAAGAACTGATAATGGGTTGGAGTTCTGCAACGCTCCATTTGATGATTTCTGCAAGAAAGAAGGTATAGTGAGGCACCGCACTGTACGACACACACCACAACAAAATGGAGTTGCAGAGCGAATGAACCAAACCCTCATGGCGCGTGCTAGGTGTATGCGCATATTTGCTGGCTTGTCTAAGCAATTCTAGGCTGAAGCAGTAAACACTGCTAGCTATCTGGTTAATAGATCTCCATCAACTGCAATTGACTTAAAGACTCCTCAAGAGGTATGGTCCGGTAAACCCTCTGATTACTCTAATTTAAGAATATTTGGATGCCCTGCATACGCTCATGTGAATGATGGTAAGCTGGAGCCGAGGGCGGTAAAATGCATATTTCTAGGGTATGCAACAGGAGTAAAAGGTTATCGACTGTGGTGTACAGAAGGTAAAAATCCTGGTAAATTTCTTATTAGCAGAGATGTAACCTTTGATGAATCTGCTATGCTTGATCAGAGTAGAGGTTGTGAAAGTATTGCAGGTACAAAAGATTGTGGTGCTAACCAGAGGGTGGAGTTTGAGACTCCTGACAGAGTTGTGTTAGAGGAAAAGCAGCAGGATAATAATATTGATCAATCCAATAAACCAGATCAGTCAAAACCTCAAGGAAAACCGGTTGAGGGGGAAGCTGATGACGCTGGTACTGGGGTTGAAGATTCCATAGCAGCAAGAAAGGGAAAGAGAAATATTCAGAAACCAGCTAGGTTTGCAGGATGTGTCAATACGTGTGACATGGATTCTGTTGCTTATGCACTAGCGGTTGGTGATGATCTTGGCTCTGATGAGCCAAAGACATATAAAGAAGCTGTGGCGAGTAAAGATGCAGAAACCTGGATTATGGCAATGAATGAAGAGATGCAGTCTCTTGAAAAGAACAAGACTTGGGATCTTGTTGCACTACCAAAAGGGGTGAAGCCAGTGGGATGCAAGTGGGTCTTTAAAAGAAAGGAGGGAATTCCTGGTGTTGAACCTGCTAGGTTCAAGGCGAGACTGGTGGCAAAAGGGTTTTCACAGAAGGAAGGAATCGATTACCATGAAGTCTTTTCTCCTGTGGTGAAACACAAAACCATTCGGGTTCTTTTGGCAATGGTGGGTGCTTTTGATCTGGAGCTGGAGCAGCTTGATGTAAAAACAGCATTCCTTCATGGTAATCTAGAAGAACAAATTTACATGTCTCAACCGGAGGGGTTCTACAGTTCTAAAGGGGACCAGGTATGCTTGTTAAAGAAATCTCTGTATGGCTTGAAGCAATCTCCGAGGCAATGGTACAAGAGATTTGACTCATTCATGGTGTCTAA